TGGTTTTTCCCCTTTTACCTTAACCAAAGAAGTGGGGCTTGGGACCCGCTGTCCATACCCTGTTAAGGGGGATTATCCTTTTCTTTTAAAAAACCCAATTTTTTCTCTTTTTTTTCCTTTTTTTTGTGTTTCACCGCTAAATAGATAGATAGACAGACTTCGGTCGGATGATTTTCTCCACATTTCACATAGCGATGTTTTCGATGGCAGTATGTCCTTGTATGTCCATATTCTTGACATCTTTTGCATTGTACGATTTCTTTCTTCTTTCGAGGTGCTTCTATTTTGATTTTGCAGTTCAGTAAAATATGTTGTAAATATCTTTATTATTGGTTGCTTTATATAGGTTGTAGATCTATGAAGAAGAGATGGAGTGGTGCTGTTGTTTGTGTTGGATATTATAAATTTGGCGAACCTTGTGGCCGTAGTTTTCAATTTCCTCTTGCAGTTCTTTAACATCAGCATTTGCGTGAATTTAAGCACAACTCTAAAAGAAATTGCAACTTTTAATTTTCATAATGTTTTATGAGCTTTCTATATGCTTCAACTGTACTTATTATGATTTTGATACTCACTGTTCAGTAATTCGTAGCTGTATTTCTCTTTTTTAATACTTCTTCAATGCAGTTTTTAAGATATTCATGTCTTTTATTCCTTGTTGAAAGATGGGTGGAATTTTATAACCATTGGTTCGTTCGTTGGATTCAGATTTTTCTATTGTGTTGTTTTTGTAGAAGAAAGAAGTTCTAATTTGTTTTAATTTGTAATGCTTTCGGTAACTGGTATTTTCTTTAGAGCTCTTTGTGAATGTTCACTATTTTTTTCGTTTCCGCCGTCTCGGGACGACTTCTTGCCACTCCGGAGTGTTATCGTCAACAGATGACATTGTTGATACGTCTGTTGTACTACTGCTTTGATGTGCCAAACTTTTGGCCCTCTGACAACTCGTATCTGTACTGCTTCTTGATAACGGAAACTGTGGTTGCTGTGTCAGGAGTTCTGAAGTTGATCTAGTTGTAGCTATTGTGATTGCAGCTGTTGTTGCTGTTCTTGCAATTGTTGCTGTTGTACAATAACATTTTGTTGACATTCAAATAAACTGTTTGGTACAGGCGAGGTTCCGTTCACTACTTCCATTGCTGCTGCTACGCTCTGTCCGAGGTCAGAGCATGTTATTTGACTTTCACTGATGTCTTACAGAACACTGCAATCATTCACAAATTTGAAATAAATAGATCTAATATCCGTGCAATTTCTGAAACCTACACTGAAATTCTTCACACGCACACTGAATTAACTACTATACACATCGTTCACTCTGAGTTTGCATATCTTCTGCCCGTAACGATACGAACAAGGTAAGCACTGCGGAGCAGCGGCCACGACCGTTCACCTCCGCTGCCAGACGAGAACTGAGATTTCAAGATGAGTTGCTTTAGCTGTTTATTGCGCCAGAGGGGGAAGCAAGGTTATCTTTCAAGAAAAGTTGCGCTACTAATACCAATCATAGGGCTATGAAAACCATTATGTCACCAACGTATTCATAGCTCCATGATACCAATAATGGTCTGGTAGTGGCCTGCAGCAGCAAAATTATTTCTCAAAAAGTAGCACGTACGCTATTCTTAAACAACCAAATATTCTCGCATTATACTTCATTACTTTAAACATTTTAAGAAAAAGTTTTCACAAGTATTTCAAAAATATAGTTCAGTATAGTATATCCTTTTATAGTTTCAGTATATTAACATTCCTGTAACATAATAGTTGATGCTTTGATTAACACTGAATTCTTTGCTGATTTGAGAATTCGATCATAGTAAACCGTGGTAAAAAGTATGGAGTAACCTGCGTCCTGTCTCTCGCGATTAGGCGCCTTTCGGTTCACCAACCAAGACAAATTAGCGACATTCAGCACAAAATTCAATGTATATTTTCACTTCGAAGTAAATTAAAGCAATAATTATTTGATATTAATGATATTGATATTGATGCTAATTATGTGATATAATATACATGTTATGATAAATAAAATTCTATATACATCTTCATCCGAACAAATGTGTTTGTAAAATACAAAATTTTATACTTAATATTAAATTTTATAACTTACCACAAATATTTACATTCATGAAATGCACTTTCTCATCAATTAAAAAATTAGTAAAATGTGGAAATAATATTAATATTTGTATATAACCATTAACTCTATTTAATTACTGTTTACGCTTATGAGGAACATTTAATAAAATCGACAATTTCTCAGAATACCAGATTTTTTTCTCATTCTATACCACAAAGATTTACAATCATGAAGTTAATTGAAAATGAGTAAAACGTGGAAATAATGTTTATATTTCTATATAATCATTAACTCAAATTAATTACTACAATACTTTTATGGCGAACATTTATAAAATCTACAATTTCTATTGCATTTGGGACTTTTTTTTGAAACAATCATAATGAAATTTAATGTCCGAGAAATGGTCATTTAAACCATAAAACCATTAAAATAATCTACACCATAGCGTTACTGATGTTGGTTACTAACATCGCAGCGTTGACAAGGAGTATGTACACTGAAACAAACTAATATGCATACCTATTTTGTAATACGTATTTTTCTAGCGACCAAAGTTGCTACTGACAGAATCGCCCAATTAGAGTCGGGAGTTTGTGAGCCTTAGCATCAGCACTATCGATCTTCTACGCATGCGCAGATGCACTGTAACTGTGCGAAACTTTAAATGCGCATGAGCAGAAGATCGATAGTGCTTTGATGTTCGATGTGGTACAAACTCCCTTATATTATTTGTTATTGGTCGTGGTGATTCGCCTGTCATTGGTCGATGAACGAACTTGCGCAGCGGAAAGCGTGAATGCTTGTAGTGGTGTCGAGGATCTGTCAAAACGGGAGTGAGGTTATGCAGTGTCACGCCTATGTCGAATATGTCTGACTGTATTAAGCATACATTCTTAATATTCTCATAAAAAATCTTATCGTACGTGTGGTTTTTAAGAAGTCTTCATTTCGAACGGAAACAATCTCACAACCATGGCTGATACATTCCAAGTCGTGACATCTGATTTTCTCAATGTTACAATTACTATTTCCCATCATAATTCTCAATGTATTGAAAAGAGATTTCAGAAAGGCATAACAATTGCCGAGTTGAAAGTGAGCAAATGTGTTAATTTGTTTGCTTATTATCTTCAAATCGAATAACCACCGGTTGCTTTCGTCATTGACATGTGATTGTCTTTGCAGGGAAAACTTGAATTACTAACTGGAGGATGTTCTACCACTATGAAAATTGAAATATATAATAAAGACGACGTTTTAGTTTGTAGTCTTGATAGTGATGATGCTCTTCTTGGGTCATACCCAGTTAATGATGGAATGCGCATGCATGTATGTATGTTCAAACTGTTTTCCCACCTCATCCATTAAGTGAGTAGAACGCTTTTAATTATGATTTTTTTAGGTAATTGACAAGTTTGTTTTACAAAGTGAAATGGATGACCTTTCTAAAACGGAAAAATTTGAACTATCTGAAGAAGACTATTCCAAGAGAACAGGTTAGGCTTGTTATGCTTTTCTCGTGTAAGTACTTTTCTTTTTAGTAATTTTTCTGAACCTTTGGATTTTTTTAGACACATTGAAATATTATTTGGAACGCAACAGACTGGGAAAATATAATGAAGAAGAAGTTCGAAAAAGAGAAGAGGAAAAAAAGAAGGAAGCCGAAGCAGAAGAAGCAATTGCAAAATCTGTAAAAATTGGAGATCGTTGTGAAGTCAGAGTTCCAGGTCAACCAGTCAGAAGAGCTACTATAATGTTTGCTGGTTTGTAATGCGCTTACATTAATAGCAGTGAAAAATTACATTTTTTCAAAGAGTGCAAAAAACATAGAGGAAAAAAGAATTAATTTTTTATGTGTAAATTAAATTGTTGATCCATCTATTATGGTTGTTTCTACTTTTAAAGAAGAAAGGTAAATAAAAATGTAACCAATACCCCTTCTTTACGTTATGGGAAATAATTAATATCAATTATTATGTAAATATTTTGTTTTCCATATTCTATATACTATTTTATTGTTTTCAGTGTTCATAAAATATTGATAGTATTAATACTCCAAACCAAGTTACTGATGTTTGAAATCCAAAATGTATCTCTTTCACATAAGATGAAAGAAAGATTTTCAAAATGAACCCCAGTCTTCAAGGAACCCAAAGTTTTGCTTATATTTTCTTCCATTCATGAATATCATTAAAAAAAATTGTGTGATAATAATATACAATATTTCCCAAACTGTTGTTTGTTATTGGAATCAAATATTTGAAGTAGAATTCATATCTGTTCATTGCCAAATTTTATATGTATGTATTAATTCATTAGTGGACTCAGGATTTCATTTTTAGTATATATAAATAGAAAATCAAAACATGCTGATAAAACCAAGTTTATGCACTTTAATATGATTTCATTATCATTACTTGATATTTACTGAATTAAAAATTGCAGATGTTATTACACTTCTAAAAAATTTGATCCAAATTTTTCAACATTTTAATGATACCTCATCAATTCCAGCAATTTGGAAAATTACATTAGATCAGGTATTAGCTATTAGCATAGCAGCAAAACTAAGCAGTCCTTAGGCTTGTAAACTTAAGCAAACTTTTCCCCACTTGGTATTTTGAACTAAATAAACAATGTTTCCTGGTTGTTTGAAATTAATCCCTAAAAATGTGTATGTTGCAGGTCAAGTTGAATTTAAAGGTGGTTGGTGGATAGGTGTTAAATATGACGAACCCTTGGGCAAAAATGATGGCTCGTAAGTTCATAGTGTCTTACTTCCATATTCCCTCCCATTTCCTTTCCCATTATGATTTGTCCATAACATGCACATTTTCTACCAAAAAAGTTTTTAAAAATTGCAAAACCATACAAATTCTTGCTATACACTTTTGGGTGTAAGGTTTCTTAAAGTATATCTGACCAAATGACCCTTGGAAGATTCTGCCCAAATTCTCATCAATTGATATATTAGTTTACAGTGTGTAGTTAGTGTCAGTCATGCGATTATACATTCAGAATTTGTATTAGACCCTCAAGTTTGTTGAAATTCTTCTTCTTTCCCTTTGTGCCTTTCAGTGTTGGGATGGTTGAATTTAAAAACTATTATTTCTAAAGTATAGTTTCTTTAGAAGTCGTACGCTTCTGCAGCCAGTCATGTAAATGATCTTAGCTGTCTGTGTAACGCCATGTCGAAACTTTTGCATCACAGTCTTTGTCACATCGTCACCCGGGGAGCCAAGATCATTGAAATAATGTCCAGAAAAAGTGGTTACTAATTTTTATTTTGTGTGGATTCAATGGTGCTTCTAATCAGTAAAAATTGAGAAGTTGAAGTTGCTTCATTTAAGGACTTCTGATGGGGTGGATCTCCTGGCAAAAACTTCACGGTATAAAACCGTAAAATTGTCAGGTAATCTATAAATTTGGTTTTTGCAGGAATTACAGCTGCCCATCCAGATCCTCAGAATAATGTTAAAAAACCAGTAGACATGTGATGGTAGTCTTCATATTGATTAAGTATTTCTTAGATAAGTGCTTTATATTTTATGGAGTTTGTCATCTGTTTGAGATATTCAGTCAATGATCGTGTCTATTTTCAGTGTTTTAATGGCTCAGGGGGAAGATAAAATTGATGAACTGGGGGCCTAACAGAATAAATTCTTGTGAATAGGCCTGTGCTAAATTTCAGAGCGCTAGGGGTCTTTGTCTGTGGAATTTAGTAAAGTGTTTATTATCAAACATGATTGTCTCCATTGGTTGCTCGAGTTGGCAGTCATTGATGTTTTGTTTTGAAGTGTCTATAGATCAATGGGAAATACTCAAAATAAGTAATTTGGATAATCCACTTTCTATAGCAGAAAACTAGCACTGAACTCAGATGAATAATAATGTGGGTATATATTTTTGGTCACATTAAGTAAAAGTCAAGTAAAAGTTTTGTTTGTGCAAGTAACGGATTCCTAGCATTATTTATGCATGTAATACCTTTACCTTTAACAAAAGTATTGTTGTGTATCTATGTACGTTAGACATTTTAATTGTGATAACTATTAATCAGAATTTTCATTGGTCAAATGCATGAAAAATGAACGTTTTTCTTAAAATTGTATTTTAAGAATAAGATTTCTCAGTGAACTCAAGTACAAATTGAATAAAAAATTGAGAGAAGAAATTCAACATGAACAAGTTAATTTCAAACATCTTTTAAAAATTAATGAAGATGTCTGAAATCAACATGGAATAACTTGTTTCTCATTAGAGCAACAAGATCCTAATCAGGACATGAAAATATATCTTTATTCCCTTGTTACTATAACTTCAAATGGACTTACTTTATTGGTTTAAATAATAGGATGGTGATGGCCATCAATAAAATGTGGAGGGCAAACTTCACCACCTGGAAATTTATCTAAAATTTATATATACGTTAATATTTATTTTGTTGACATTTATTGTTCATAATTGTATTTTATTAATGTAATGAGTATCATTGAGTGTAAAAGTTATAATATGCATTTGTTTCCAGGGTTAATGGCAAAAGATATTTTGAGTGTTCACCCAAATATGGTGGTTTTGTTAAACCTTCAAATATAACTGTGGGAGACTTTCCAGAAGAAACATTTGATCTTGATGAAATGTGAAGAGTGCTGGAAATATTTCATGAACTTATCTAACATTAAATGCACAATTGCTTTCGTGACACTTCTGTTTTGCAAATGTAACATCGATCTTAGTGAGACCATTGGACAGTTTAGGTTCATCCAGTTCAATAAATACTAATCTTGGAGCTGTTTTTCATTTCTAACTGTTTAACTTCCCGTAATGTACATTTTATTGAATGCTTGTATGAAATTTTATGAGAAAAATGTTATTACATATCTGTAATTAGTAACCATTTTTGTGTATGATTATATGCTTTTTCTGGTAAGATTTAAAAAAAATCGTCCTAAATAAAATTATTCTAAACATTTTGTAAAGATTTTGTTCTAATCCCAATTATTTCTTGATTCAATGATAGCCCCTCCCTCCACTATTCACTTTCCTCTTGCACAAGAAGTCTCCAAAAACCAGAGAGATGATTATTAATATTAAGAAGAATAATTACAAATGTGTACTTATAAGGTGGGCAACAGAGAAATAAATTTATAAATTTCACGCAGATGTGGACCCACTACAGAATGATGCAACTGTATAAGTACGATGTATTTGAGCGTGCACGTGACGTAAATCAGGTGTTGCGATTTCATCTAATTGCGAGCCTTTATATCGCTACAATGGCGACGTTCAAGCTTCCGATTGGTTGAAATCGTGAACATGTGATTTACATCAAGTGCATACTTAAATAAATTCTAGTATAAAATATGAATATACACTGTTTTTATCCATGTCCAGATGCCCGTAAGGGTGGGAATGTTCTCACCGCAATGCACGTGCATTGCACTTTCCTTGCGTTCACAAAACTGCACAAAGAGGTCTTGGTTTCGTCCATGTGATAGAAGGTTGTTTTGTGCTGCCAACTGTTTCTCGTTCGCCCAAATAATATTTTATTTACTTATGTCTTGTATTACGCAGGCTTTGTCAAAAAAAAATTGTTTGCGATTTGCAGTTCTTTTCAGAATATAGTTATTGTACATAAATTAAATGATTTTTTGATACTTGGGAATTTCGTTTTCAGCTGTGAACTTTTGAATCTGGCAACAATGCGTAGTAGTTGTCAAATGTTTAATATGTATGTATATGGCTATATGCGTTTACTTTTGAAGAAGGGAAGTGTAACTATACTTTCCGCGTGTAACATTGTCAATAAACTGTTGTGTCGATTTAATTGTGGTTAATAACCCTACATTCTCCACTTTAATTAAAGTGTTTTGTTCAGTAAACAGATATTTTACCTATAACTTTTTATTTCATTCTGTTAATTCGTTCCGTTGTATGTTTTAAGGTTAATGTAACTCTTATGAAAAATCTGAAGCAAGATGAAGTGAGAGTGCATTTTTGTTTATGTGTATAATTCTTATAATTGCCTTTCCGATTATAAATTTTGTGGATTCATTATTTCACTGGTCACTTCATAGCCACACAAATGACAGAAGTATGTTTTTAATTTTTAGACTTTCTCTGCAAAACTTACGGATTTTAAACCTTTTTATATTACCCTTTGAATTTTTTTTAGGAAGTGCAAAGACATTCTGTGCATACTTTGGTATTTCGATCTCTAAAAAGAAGTCATGACATGTTCCTTTCTAATCAAGGTGTCCTTGCTCCAGTGGATGAAAAGGCGTAAGTTTACCTGAAGCTAACTTTATATTTCTGACTACTTACTGGTGGGGAAGCAAGTTCAAACTTTACTATATCTTTGCCTGTCTGTGCTGCAGAAATAATTTCTATGTATTATAATTTCTTGGTGGAAATTAGTAATTTCATTAATAATTTGGGAATCATTTGCTGATGGTTTGAACCTCGGCCAGAAATTGCAGCACTCTAGTTGGCATAGTCTTATAGTTCAATACATGTTATGCAAAGAATGCTACATTTGTGAATGATATACACATTAAAAACTCAATTGTTATAATCTGTTGTAATTCACAACACAAAAGTGTTTACATGCTTTTCTTTTGTTCTTATTTGGTAATATACATAGTCTTCTATATCAGTGAGAGGCATCAGTAGTGTCCCTCTTGCAAGGGCGTAATAAGTAAATATCTGCAATTGTAAGCAAAGCAAAGCAATTTATTTATTTAGCATTATTACTGCTAAAAAAATACTTTTTGCCTAAAACATTAATTTCTTCAGTGATAAGAATGACAGAAACATGTTGAGTGAGTGGCATGAGTGGTATGTATGCTGAATAGAAGATATTTTTCAAGAGAAGATGAAATTGATTTGTTTACAGAGAAAAAATAAAGAAATTGGTAAAGGCACGTGATGGGTATGGCCTTGTATTTGAGAGAGTAAAGAGAAATAGCCAATTGAAACAACTGGAAAATAATGAAAACCGAGAAAATAACATACCCAATGGAGCTATTCCTGGTAAGATTGTTGTATTTTATAATGCAATATTTGATTCACATTGATTGTACTAATGTATTTTTATTCATATAGATGGAAATTATCCTGACCCAGTTGGTGAAAATGCTTTGGTACCAATTGCGCCAAGCATACCAGCTGTTATCCCAATGCCTGCTGCCAACACTGCAACTCAGACTATTATTCCAAAGCGAAACCCAACTATGCCAAAACCCAAATGGCATCCTCCTTGGAAACTGTACCGAGTTATATCTGGTCATTTGGGATGGGTGCGATGTGTTGCAGTGGAACCAGGCAACGAATGGTTTGCCACTGGGTCAGCAGACAGAGTAATAAAGGTAATAATTTCATATCATTAATATTATTAATACATTTCATACATCCACCAAATAGAGTAATTTATTCTATTGCAATTAAAGTTCTTGTGTTTTTCTTCATATCTCAAGAAAGGTATATAGGTTTTTAATTCACGTAAAAAGAAAACCCTTCTAAAATTCTTCAATGAAATGGGAAAAACTTTTAACGTTATTCCCTTATTCAATATCTTATTGGTTGGGTTCTTCTATTTATAAAGATGAATTGGTATTAAATTTGTTATTGTCATAATTTTCAGATATGGGATTTGGCAAGTGGACAGTTGAAAGTGTCATTGACAGGGCACATCAGTAGTGTTCGTGGTCTGGCTGTGAGCTCCCGGCATCCTTATCTTTTTAGCTGTGGTGAAGACCGGCAAGTCAAATGTTGGGATTTAGAATATAATAAGGTAACATACTACAAAGCAATAATTCAACGACATGTGATAGTATTATCGAGATACATACAGCGCTAGTGTAGCGTTACAATTAAAGGCTGTGCCCTGTACCGTATTGGAAGCAACTATTTCACTGACGGACGTGTTGTATATCTGTACATGACGAGGATTGTTGATGGAACGAGGAACGTTGATGTAAATTATTGCTTTGCAGAGCATTTGTCTTACTGTACAAAGATTATTATTTATGCATCAAAAAAAAAATGTACAAGCTTTGTTTCATAGTCTTGTGACCTGGAGGTCGAAATGAAGTAGCATTAGGGTTAGGCAAAGCAAACTTTCAAAAACTCAAGGGATACAACCAAGACTTATGTTTCATTTAGTAACATGAGTATTTTTCATCAAAATGAAATGTATGTTTTAATTAGGTCCTTGCATACCTGCATATTTCTAAGGAATTTAAATATAATTTATACAAGCAAAGTAAGTATTTTATTCATTTGATAGCGTGCTTGCATTACACAGCATTATTGATAATTAAGTTGTTTGTGTGCCAAGCTTTATTTAAATCATTTTCACTTGAAAGAATAATTTGAATCTCTCCTTCAATAAAAGAAACTGTGCATTAGCTTTGGAGGGTAACAAAATTATGCAATAATAATACAAATATCGTAATAGAAATTTCTTTTGGAATCAAATGTGTTTTTTGTGTTTTCAATTGGTCTTTTAACTGCGAAGAATGCAATTTTTTTTTTTTAGAAAGTTTACATATGTTTTGGATGTGTGTATTTGCACAGAACAGACAGTAGCTTCCTAAAAGCATTTTGTGTTTACTAGCTTAATGTAACAAGTTATGCACACAATTTTAACCAAGGAATTTCGTATTGACAGTTTGTTTCTTTTTAAAGCGGTTTTCTTTCTTCTCCGTTGTCTACAGAAATATTGGGAATTGTAATTGCTCCAATATACAAATTAAAATATAAGGTGTATTCGATATATGTTGAGATGACAATTGCAAGTTAAACAACACACTTTTCCAAATACATTTTTCCTAAAAAACAATTTTTGTAATTTATTTATTGCAGATGATAGATCATTTACAATGTAATTTTTGAAGTTTTAAATCTGTAATATCCTGTGAAGTGTTAAGATACACAGTATTATATGACTGCACACGCATTTGTCTACAATGTGACAAAGAGTCCAATGTTCAATTTATTACGCTATAGCTCATCTCTCATCATGGAAGTAGTGGGCGTTGTTACAATTTAGTAGTAAAGTTATATTTGACTACTTGTGCAAAAACACACAAGCATAAGCTCATGCCTGTGGGTGAACACAAAATGCATTGTAGGACTCGTTTTTAGTTCTTGTGAATTTGCATTGTGAGAAGATTTGCAGATAAAACTGTGCAGATATGCAGTTGCTGAAACAATGATCATCGTCAGTTAGGGTATATAGATGGGTCGTGTCCCTTGAACAAAGCCGGTGTTCCTCTTTTGTGTGTCTATCACTTTGGTATTGTGTGCATGTGTTTGTATTTCAGGGCTAACTTTGGTAGTATCTTCACCTTTATTATTTTCCTTCAATCTTTTTCTGATCTCTATATTTCTGTAAATTATGGGAAATCTTGGAAGACAGAAAATCTCCCCATGTAATTGTAGCTGTACAAAGCCTTTACGAGAAATCTAGAATAAAAGCACAGCTAGAAAAGAGGAGAAACTGGACATATATAACTAGGAGTGGCCTCAAACAAGGCTGTGGGTTATCACTGGTTCTCTTCAACATCCATATTAATCACTTAATAAGGAATTGGCAGAAGATGAACCTAGGAATTTTAATCGAAGGAGATAGAAAGATTGACATAATCTTGTCAGCACGAAGATGACCAAGTAATAGTAGCAGAATCCAAAGACAACTTAAATAGGGCAATTTTTGAACAATCATAAGTTGCACAGGAATGTTCCATGAGAATATCAATAAGCAAAACAAAATCCATGGAATGCAAAGAAAGGAACAAAGAAGAGTTAAAATTGAAATAAATGGGGAAATAGTAGAGCAAGTAAGAGAATTACTTACCTAGAAAACAGAATCGATGTACTAAACCACACTCAAGGAGATGTCAAGATAAAATTATATAATTACTACTGAATGTGTGGAACCATTAACAAATACTTTGAGACGGGTATGGATTCTACCACAAAATTGAAACTTCGTAACATCTCAGCTAAACCAATGCTTCTGTATGGTTCAGAAACAAAGATAATGAAGGAAATCAACAAGCAGAAAATAAAGGCAGCACAAATAGCAATCTTAAGATACCTGTTTGGAGTCACGAGAAGATATAGGATGAGAAACAAGGGCATCAGAAGAAAACTAAAAACCAAAAGTCTAATAGAAGCGATTGAAGAATCACAAAAAAGATGGAAAGAACACTTTTGCAGGATGGAAAGTAACAGACTACCAATACCTATCTGAAAATATAAGCCAATTGGAAACAGACATTGAAAGAACTTTAAAGAGATGAAAAAATCAGGAACACCTAGAAGATTAATATACTAGGTCTACTGAACCAGCACATACTGGAACAGGATCATACCTAAACCCTGCAGTTCATGATGATGATGATGATGCATTTCTGTGATTATAATTTTCTTACTTGTGCCCAACGCCTTAGGATTCTCATCTGGGATGCAAAGTTAACTCAATATTTATGGAGGAAACGATTTTTCATTAATTTAGGGAAATTGTAACTCGTGTTCATTTAACGTAGAAAAAAAATTATATATTATTTTGTAGGTAATCAGACACTACCATGGCCACCTTAGTGCTGTGTACACCTTGGCACTTCATCCTACAATTGATGTGTTGGTGACTGCTGGGAGAGATGCTACGTGTCGTGTTTGGGATATGAGAACAAAAGCAAATGTTCACACCTTAACTGGACACACAAATACTATTGCAAGTGTTGTGTGTCAGAGCGCAGAACCACAGGTAAGATTTTAATTAATTAAAATCTTAATTCATAGCTAATAATCTTTAGAGAAGCAATGATGGAAAGTGTGCTGTTGGAATACTTGTGTGTCATTACTGTGTGAAGCAATATTTCTCTTTGAATAAAGAACTGAAAAACTTAGGTACTATTTTATTTTTTTTAAATTATTTAACATTGAAAACCCGCTAAAAACTGTGTGGCCTACTGTGGAGGGAGATGTATTTTGTGCATATTTTCTTAAATTCTGGGATCTCACCCAACTCATATACAAGTTGAATAATGAATACAGGTGTAAACATGCATTTTTGGGGAACAATTA